GCAACTGCTGTGTTTTAAACATTAGCTAAATTTAAAGGTTTAGCTTGATCATATTTTAGTTTAAATCTTTTAAAAACTTATGTGAAATTCTCTTAATTATTTTCTATGTTTTCTTCTTATTAATCCATTATAATAGAAATTAGAAACTTAATTAAAAAAAATATACATATTCTTATATGGAAGAAATAAAATTGAAACTTTTATTTTTAAATATAAAAGAGTCAACAAAGGCTATTTTTAATAAAATGATGGAATCACTTTCATCATTTTCAATCATTTGGAAAGTAAATTTCAACTTATGTGGAGATTTATCTAAAAACTGTTTTAAATTTATTAATCATAATAATTATTGGTTATTAAAAACATCAATTTATATAATTCGTTAATGGAAATCCAGTTGACAATAACAAAAGAATATAGTTATATCTATTCGGTAAAATTGTGGTTTTAGATTGAAATTCTAATAATTTCGATCAGAATTAGATGATTTCTCAATAAATTTAAATTGTGCATTTAAATTTTGATATTTTTCTTGATAAATTTTATCACATCTCACAAGCTTCCAAGTTTTTTTTTATTATAACAATTTTATTCTGTTTATTCTAAATTTTTTAAAATAAGTTAAAATTATTTCTCTATTAAAGTTATTTTATAAATGATCTTAATTTAATAAAAAATACATTTTTCTTTGATAAAATGGATAATAGAATATTTCTATCATGTAAGAAAATCCAAATTTTATAAATTTAGAAAATCTTTTAATGATTTTCCTCTAGGTTTTATATGTATTGTTGGATTTAATTTTTCCTTTTTAATAAATAGTTAATGATTTAGAATAAAACTAAAATATATATGTTTTCATTTAAATTTATAAATAAATCAATAACTTCTTTGAGAAGATAACCAGTTACCATAGTAATTTTGTTCAATTACCTCTAAAACAAGCACTGAAAGGTAATTTTGAAGGCTTACTTACTAATCCATCAGATATTTTCCTTTAAGTTTCAAATCAATTAATGATTTAATTTCAATCTAATCAGTAGATATTTGTAAGATTTCAATTCTATAGAATAACTTCGAATAATGCTAACCTTTTTTTAATTCATCCATCACATATTTAGAGGCTTAAAGCAAACAATAAGATTGTTTTTAACTATCAAAGTTTTAAAAGAATAAACTTAAATGAAAGAGTTATTGCAAAATTTAATTTATTAAGAAAATTTGTGACAACCTCTTTATGATCTATTTTTTATGTTATTGCTTTTAAGAATGGAACATTTGAAAGATTTACCATTTTTGTGAAGATAAAAACAGACTATATGAAAGAACATTATTTTAAGCTAATAGGATAAGTGTAATAGCTTATACATACTCTTAATGATAATTTAAGTTAAAGGCCCTTTTTCTTATTATTCAGAAAGTTGAAACCATCATAGATCTAAATCTAATAGTTTTTTTTTTTTTTTAAAAAAATGAGTTTTAAGAACTTAAAAAAGAGTCAATTATCATATTATGATCTATATATTAATGATTGAATATGGATCTGATCCTTTTTAATTAATGGTCAGGTTTTTTTCAATTTAATACATGCAACTTAAATGATATTCAACATAGATTACTTATTTAATCAATTCAGCATTTAGCCAAAGTAATAATAATTAATCATTGAATTAAATATAGATAAATGTAGGTCTTTCAAAGTAACAAATTAATAAAGACATTTTATACTCAATTTCAATTAATGAAATAATTATTCGATCAAATGTAGAAGTTCAATTCTTTTTGTATGAGATTATTTTATTCAAACAATTGAGATAGATCTTAAACTTAATTTCATATGGTTTTTATTGATAAAAGTCTGATCTTTCTGTATGTATTAATTGTAGGTAATTTAAAAGATTCTTCTCTCTTTTACCAGAAAGCAATCAATTCTTTTATAGTTGATAGATTTCTTCCCTACTTTCTAATACCAAAGCAGACTTCTTATTTTAGAAAATTGCTTTAAGACAAATATTTAATTAAAATAATGAATGAATCATCTACTATATCAACTTATCTTAGAACAGAGACAGATGAAGTAAAAGAATTTAGTGGCAATTTAATGGCTCAAAGAAAAAAAATTCCATAATTGAAAAACTTGATTTTACCTAGAAAATCAAAGCAGATTAAATTCAATCCAATTATTGATTCTGTGAGAAGCAGCTAAAGTTAAAGATCTTCTAGAGGGAATTTAGGTGTTTAGATACTTAATAACAATATGATATTAAAAGATTCTTTTGATTTATTCTTAGATGGTAAAATAACGAGTATTGAATTACTGCAATTATCAAACTATCCTAGATTAAGATAGTAATTAATAGAAGATCATACTGATTCTAAAGGGATTAATATATTAGGACCATTAGTAAGATTTAAAAATAAATTCAAACACAAACAAGTTAGAAATACATAAGATGATAGGAGTGTCTACTTAAAATCTAAATTATAAGGATTAAACAATTTAATTCATACAAGAATGATGTAAAAGAAAGAAGATAACGATACTCAAAGAAGATAAAATCTATAAAATGTTGGATTGTTTAAAACTATTGTTGATGCTTCTGAAGGAATTGAAGATAAATTAGCTTAAACTAAAGATCCTTTTGTTAAAAAGATTCCATCTATTAAATCATTAAAGACTATGACTGTCAGTTATGACGATTTGAAGCCAAGTATTTTTCTTATCTATTCAAAGTTATCAAAAATGCAAAAGAAATTCCAGCTATTTCTAAAATATTTTTAAAAAACAATTTAACTGAATCAACTAAGAAATATTTAGATGAAGCTTCAAGATAACATTATTTAAAGTAATAAGAGTTGAATAAGCTATCTAAAATATAAATTACCAAATAAACTAATTCCAAATTTTAATTGTATAATAAAGATGTATTGACATCTAAAGATTTAGAATTATATGATTACTTACACAATAAACCTAAACCTATTATTCTTAGAAATCATTTCACTGAAATGGATGAAGAAACTATTCCATCCCATGAAATTATTGCCTCTAAAATTGGAAATCAAAGACTCAAAAAGAGATATAATAAAACTGAATAAAAAATACACGAAGATTTAGAAAATGAATCTCATACTTCTTCATTATAATCTACTTATGAAATTCATCTAGATAATTTATATTCTTAAACTGTTGATTTAAAAAAACAGTTAACAAAAAAGACTACTCTTCCAAAAAAAGTTAAATAAATGATTAAACTAGATGAACTTAATTAATAATCTCTTCAGGCGAATACATTCAAATTGGTTCATTGAAAAAAATATATTTATATATATTATCAGATTTTTCTTATATTTTAAAGTCTTATTAAATGTCGTTCTTCAACATCTTTTATAGTATTTAATTTTGCTGAAGAAACTTGATTTTTTAATTTGTTTATTGCAAATTAATCACTTTATTATTACTCTTACAGAATTTTTATTTGCTTTCTTAAGTGTTAATTTGATTCTGTTATATCTTCAAATTACTTTTTATATATTTTTTCTTCAGCTTTTTAAGTTTAATGTAAAATTGTTTATTTGCTTACATAATCTTCATATTGCATAGTTTTACGTTAAAATTTTTCATTTTATTCTTTCAATTATTTAATCTATTCTTCTTATTCCATCAACAAATTTAATTACTCCTTTGCTTAATCTGATAATTCTTAAAGTTACTTTTATTAATCCGTCAATATTTCTACTTTTTCCTATAAATTTAATTAATGTTCCTTATTCTCTACTTAGCTTAATTAAATTTCCCTTTCTAAATCTTTTTAGATATTCTCAAGATCTTAGATTTATTATTTTAAAGTTTTGATTATTAATTCATATTCATTTTTCATTTGCAATTCTTTAGATTCAAATTCTTGAATTTATTTTTCTAAAGTATTTTTAAAATGTGCTTGCATAGAATATCTAATTTATTCCATTTTATCAGAAAATTCTCTTTCTGATAAATCATAATTTAATTTTAACTATCTAGACACTATTTAACAAGTTTAAGTAGCAACCACTGATAATTCTTTTTAAATTTATAATTTAAGTGTTTCCATTTCCAATTTTAAACCTTAAAAGATCTTTTGCAAACTTATTTTGATTTTATTCTTAACTTCATCAACCTTTAATTTATAATTTCTTAACCTCCTTTTATAAATTTTCTCTTATTCATTTGATTAAGTTTTGATATTTGCTTAGTCTTGTTAATTCTTTTTTTTATATCTTTCTACTTCTTCATTCAAATCTATTAATTTAGTTTCTAATGACTTTATTTATTTGTATTATGTTTCATTTTATTATTTCAATTATTTTGATCTATTTTCTAAACATTGCTTATCGATATTGATTGTTTCATTTGTTTTTTTTAAACTTTATATCTATTATCTTAATTAAGTAACAGTTTCTTATTCTGTTTTCAATTATACTTTTAACTATTTAACATCTTTACCAACATACTATTATAATTCTCTTTCTTTTGTTAAAGCAGCCTATTAATCACTAACTACTTACTCTAATTCTGCCAATTTTTATTATAAATTTATAAATTACTCTTATTCTTTTTATTTATAACTATCTTATATTTAATTCAAATTTTGTTCAAATTCTTCAGCCAATTCTTATTTTTATTATAAAATGTTTTCTTGCATAATGTTTAACTTTTATTCTATTTCTCCTAAAGATATTTACAATTCATCTATTTATTTATTTTGTTCTTTAATAATTTTTTATTTATCTGTTCTATCTTCATCAATTTCTCTTAAATCATGCCTTAATGAAAGACATTCTTAAATTGAACATTCTAATTAAGTTTTAGTATAAGCATGTTCTTTCTTCCAATATAATTCTGTGTGATTATCAAGTACTTATTCAAAAATTGATTATAATCTATCACAACTTAATCAAATTTCATACTTGATTAAAATATCTTAAGAATCACTTCGATGAGCCAAAAGTTTCTTTAATTCTTGATCTAATTTAATTTACTGCATAGTTTATTAGAGTAGAGCTTTCATATTTAATTAAAATAATATAAATCATTCACCATGTTTTAAGAATCCAATAAATTTATCTCTAAAATTAGAAGACTATAATTAAGCTTATGTTTAATGTTACCTATTTCGATATGGATCTATAATGATATATTAAAATTTACTTATTTTTTCTTTTTCATCTTTAGTAAAATCTAATAAACTTGCTAAAGTTTCTAATATTTACACTTTCACTTTGAAATCAGAATTAAAATCAAAATATTAAATTAGAACATTTGTAATAACTCTTTTATCAACCATAGTATTAGCATAATTCTGATCTTACCTAATTTTATTATGTAAAGCTTATGATTCTAATTTAAGATCTTCATGGGATCTTAGAAGAGATTCATGTTTTATTGTTAACTCCTCTATTTATAATTTCAATTAAGAATTATTTAATTTAAGTTTTTCATTATTGTCTTTTAAAAATTTCAACTAACTAATATCTTCTTTGCTAATTTCAGATCTTAACTTTTTATATTCATCCTAAAATTTTTTTATCATTTTCTCCTTTTGATCCTAACAAGGTAATAATCAAAAATACTTTTTCTGCCTCTAATTATAGTTATGCTGCTTAAATACCGCTCTATAAGGATTAGTTTTCAAGTTACCATTCCTCTAAAAGTTTTTCTAATCTATCAATTTCTTACTATTTCTACTCTATAAGTGTACGAAGATCCTGCAATTTTTGTAAATCTGAATTACTTTATTGCAACTGAAAGTATTTATATTTTCATACCTCAAATTCTTTTTATTTAAGTTTTACTTTAAGATTTTCAGATTCATTATAATTTTATTTAATCTCTTCAGCATAGTCTCTTTTTATCTTATCCCACTCTTATTGATATTTTTCCAACTCTTTTATTCTATTTTATAAATCTTTTATTTAATTATTAGCACTACTAATTTTTTCTTACATATCTGCAACTTTTTTTTATAAACTGCCATTATCATTTATCAATAATTATTCTTTTTTACTCTATTATTAATCTTGTTTTTATTAGATTATTTCAGTTCCTGTATTAATTAGTGATTTTTCTATTAAAGCTATAACTTCTTTAGTTTAACCTTTTGATTATCTAAGTGAGAGAAATCTATCATAAAAAGTACTTTAACGAGATATTTGAATAAAAAATTAATTTATCAGTGATCCGATCTCTTCTATTGATGATTATTCAATAATTAGTTGATCATTTAATTTATTTAGTGAATCTTAATAATTATTTTAAATTTACAGAATTAATACATCCAACTATTTAGATGAATTCTTGGATATTTCATTTAATTTATCTTTTAAAGATTCTTAATTTATTTATCCTTTATAATTAATATCATCTTTATTTATTTCTGATTATTCTAATGATTAATCTTTTTACTCTTTTAAAATATTTCCCTTCATTTCTTCTTTAATAATTTTCTTTTCTTCTGATAACGCTTTTATTGTTTATTAAAGAGATAAAAATATTTGTTAAATAAGTTCTTTTATTCCAATAAAGGCAGAATTATCGAATTCATTTTTCTTAATTTCTTACATTTCAATTTTCTTTTCTCTGAGAATGGGAGATACTGATTCATTTGGACTTTTTGTTAATTCATTAACATTTTTAGAATTTTCCTTAGGACTTTAAGCTAAACCATATCCTTTTTATAATTAAGCAAATGCAGATTAAAAATCTTAACTAGAGCTATTTGTTTAATTTTCATTATCTTCAGTATCAACTGTTATTAAATCTTTCGCAAAATCTTTTACTTTTGATACTGCTCCTCCTGCTTTACTTGTTAATTAAGTAATTTTATTCCAACCTAACATTCAAAAACAATTATAAAATAATCAAGTAATCATAAAGAAATAATCATTTTTATTTTTTAAGAAATTAGAACTAAAAGGGCGTCTATGCCTAATTTAAATATTCCTACCTAACTATTTTTGATTGACTTAATAACAATTAAAATTGCTTTTATAAAATTATAGCTAAACGAATATGTACATATTTATTTTTTATAGTAAATTATAATTATTAATACAATTAATAGAATTAGATACATAACAAATATATTTAATCAACAATAATGGAATAATAAGCTGCTTAAATATAAAATATGCAAGAATTCACATAATAATTTTAAGATTACCTAGATATAGATTAATTAAAGAACAAAGAGATATGTGTAATTTTAATAGGTTGTACTAAGACAGGAAAATCAACTATATTTCATATCTTAAAAGGTGATCAATTAGAAGTGAATGATGAAGAATAATTTAATGTGAAATAAGGAATTAATTCTTTAATTTGAATAGAATCAGATTCTTACACAAAAAAACCAAATGTTTATACATATATAATTTAAAATGAGAATAATCAAAATGAAAATATAAATATTATTGACACTCCTGGTTTAGATGATAATAAAAATGAAAATACTGATATAATTTCATAAATAAAATTATTAGAACTACTAAAGTCTTATAAAAAGGTAATTTTAGCAATTGTTTTAAATTATATAAAGAAAAATAATGAATGTTATCGAAAACCTTTAAATTATGTATATAATTTTTTAAAAATGAATAAGATATAGATAATTTATTTGAAAATAAAAGTATTTGTTTAATATTTAATGGCATAAAAAAAGATAATTAGAAACTAGTTAAGTAATCATTATAAAAAGAGTTAACTAGACAAGAAAACCAAGATGAAAAATATAAAATATCTAAAAAATTTTATTAAAAAATTTAAGATTATTTATTTTTTATTGAGAAAAAACCTAATTTGGATCAATAAAATAATTTTAAAAAGGAGTTCTAATAATTTATCTATTAAAACAGAACCAATTATAAAAATATTAATTTAAAATTGAGTCTAACAAATGATTTTAAATAATGTTTTACAATTTTATTTAATGATTTAGTATAATTTTTTTCATCAGAAATAGCGGGTTTGATTTAAAAATTTAAAGAAAAAATATTGAAATTAAGCGAATTAAAGGAATTAAGAGAATTAATTGAATTAAACTAACTGAAAAAATTGTTATTATAGTTTAACGAAGAAATTCTTGGGATTTCATTAGAATATTTTGAATGCCTTTATTTTAAAATTTTAAATTAGTGTTTTATTGAGCTTAATTGTAAAGATTGCCAATCCTAAAAGCTAGATAATATAAAGTATTTTTTTCCAAATAAATGGAATAATTTGAAATAATTTTAAAGGATAAATTTATAGATTATCAACATTATTTTATTACCTAACAGTTTATATATGATTAATTGATTAATCCTTTATATGATTATTGGATAATGAAAATTTATTATCGCATCATGAACAAATTAAAAGGATCTTACTAGAAATTATCAATCTATATTGAGGATTTGTAGTAGTCTAATTTTGATTCGATTCCGATATTGAGAAATGGGTTACTCAAAAATATGTGTATTGTATTATTAGATGAAATGATTAAGTTTACAGAAATAAAAGATGATAAAAATTTAGAAATAAAAATAAGATTATTTTCAGAGGATTTTGTAGTATTAATTTACTATTTTGGTGTGTTTTGCTAAAAGTATAATATTAAAGGTTCCATAATTTTTGAGATAAATTAAAGTAATAAATATAATTTTGACAATTTCATTGAGCTAAATAACTTAATTCTTCAAGATGAAGGAAATTAAAATTAAATCTTTTAGTAAGATAACTATTATTTTACAGTTGTTGATTTAGATATACCGAATGAACCTGATGATGATATACCGAATAAACCTGATGATGATGAATAAATTAAAATTTTTGAACACTTTATTAAATTGTTAAATAAAAAATTAAATTCAATATTAGAATCTCTAAAAGAAAATATCGGTAAACTTCAAGAAAGCCAAGAATATTTTTCATCTTCCAAAACATGTGATTAATTTAAGTGTTAATCCAACTTAAAAAATTAAATCCAGAAGATAGTTAATTATAAGTTTAAATAGAAAAACTGATAGCCTCAAAATTAGTAGATTTTGATGATGATTTTCTGAAAAGCAATTAAAATTTAAAGAACGATGATTTATATTAGAACTTATTTTAAACTTTAATAAAATAACACAATTTAGAAGATATCATAAATTAAATTTCTACAAATTGTAATAATTATATTGAAATACTTAAAGATTTTATTACTTAATTAGAATAATAAAAAAAATAAGATTAAATAATGATTCTCAATTTTTTGATATAATTACTACAAATGAATGAAAAATTACTTAACCAAAAATAATCATAAGCCATTTATTATTAAAAATAAATCTACGAATAGAAAATAATAAAAAAATACTTGAACGAAAATGATTCAAATATATCATTATAAATAGATTAAATAAAAAAAATAAAATAAGGCTTGGGTGAATTTACTGAAACGAAAGATTACTTACTAAAAAAATAAAATGGCTTTCTTAAAAAGCTTAGGAGAGAAAAAGCCAAGCAGAAAGATAGAACATTAACTATAATAAATTTGAAATATACAAAACTTTTTTTCAAATACCGATATCACAAGAAAATTAATTGAATACAAATATTTTTATTTAGGATAATAATCCTAATCTTTACCAAAAATTGATGATAAGAATAAAGTGAAATAATTAGATATTGATGAATTATAGGTGAAAAAATAGGAAAAGAAATATCAAACTGAAAATGACGATTAAAAAAATCCCAAAAATTTATAATAAATAAAGGAAGATTATTTCTATTAATTTCTAAATTTTTTTAAATTAGAAAAGCAAAAAAAGTAAGATCCGATGCCAAAATAAAATGAAGATCAAAATTAAGTTTATCTAAAATAATAACCCATAGTTCCTGATATAAAAGAAATGCAAAAAATGGAAGATCAGATGCCAAAATAAAAGTAATTTCAAAACTAAGTTAGTCTGTAATAAACTATAGATTTTGAGAAATTAGAAATGACTACATTAGAAAATTAGATGCAACAATACAAATTTAATCAACCCACCAATTATGATTATTCTTCTTAGTAAGATAATAGGTAATTTATCCCATTTTTAAATCTTATGAAATAATACTTTTAAGATTATAAGAATGATCCAAGGGACCCTCGTTTTTAATACTGAAGTTTTCTTTATATCAATCCAAAAATAATATTAAATATAATTTTCATTTTTTAAATATTTAATTATTTATTTTTTAAAACTTTAGAACATTAAATGAAAATTATTAAAATTTAAACAAAAATATATTGATACCTCGATAGAAATCATAATTTCTTAATAGTTTTTACTAAATCTACTTTTTAGGAATAATATATAGCAATTTCTGTTTGACAAATACTCAAATTTTCGGATTCTTTAAAGTTATAATTATTTGATTGTAAATATTATTATTAAATATTTTTATATCGATTGTTAAAAATAAAGTGAAATTGTTTAATTTAAGATTTTTTTTCGTTATTTACAAATAATCAATTATTAGAGGTCATTAGTTGGCAAAAATGATTTTTTTTGTGTTTTCTTTTTTTTATTCTTATTTATTTATTCAAATTAAAGAAAAAAATCAAATAATATTATTTATGATTGGATTTCTAGATAATTTTTAGAAATAAGTAATCAACTGAAGTATTTAAATAAACTTTTTATAAGATGAATTTTGATGGATAATAAATTTATTTGATCGATGATTGAAAACTAATTTTAAAAGAAAAAAAAGAACATCCAATTATTTTATATTTTTACACCTTAAATCAAAAAATAATGTGATTATTTGCTGATTTGATAAACAAGAAAAAAAATTTATAATTTTAAAATAGAAATAAGAGATTTCTATTAATAAACATTATAGAAACTAAAAAATAAGTTTATAAAATATGGAAGGAAACTAAAAAAGTAATTAAAATAAATTTGAAATATGAAATAAAATATATATAAAATATTTTTTATAATAATATTAAATAAATTATAAAAAATGGAAAAAAACTATATTGTGTTAATAGGGGTATCGCTATTTTTCTTGAGTTTGTTTATGGTGAATACTTTTCATCAATATGATAAAGTAATTGAGTAGATAGAGGAATAAAACAAACCATTAGCAATTAATTTAATGGCTGATAAAGTTCCATCAATTTGGGATGTTGAGAAACCAAATAAAGAGGAAGTTGAGAAGATGAATGAAGATGAGAAGGAGATATTAAATGGTAATATAAGTTAGGCAAATGTCAATATTAGAGAAGAAATTTAGCAGTGTTATAACAAGAGAAGAACTTGGTAGAATGGGATGGACATTATTGCATATGATTTCAGCAACTTTGCCAGTAGATTTTGATGAAGAGTTCGCATTTAAAATCAATGTGTTTTTAAATCTATTGTAAAGATGAATGTTAATTGTTAGTGGTTAATTTTATCCATGTAAAGAATGTGCAGGTCATTTTTTAGATATGATAACAACATCACCTTATTAAGGTAATTCAAGAGTAGATTTCATGTAATATTTATGTATGTTACATAACAAAGTTAATTAGAGATTGAATCATGTAAATTAAAATAAAATAATTTATAAGACTTTGTTTAATTGTAGTATAGTACATGAAAGATGGGGTGGAGATTGTGGATGTTCAAGTAAGTTAGAAGAGAGTATAGAAAAATATAGTAGAGATTAGAATTGAAATATACATAAATATAATTAATAATGGGTTGTGCTTCATCTGATTCTGCTTCTGCAAATAATCCTAGAAAATTAGAACAATAAAAAGAGTTTACAGGAGAAAAGATTTCATAAGAGATCTTTGTAGACTTAAAAGATGGAAACATTTATGATGAGTATGAGGTCAGGTCAACATTAGGTGAAGGAGCATTTGGTTGTGTAAAATTAGTGGCACATCGAAAAACTAGTATTAGTTATATAAATAGTAGAAATACAATATGCTATGAAACAAATTAAGAAATAGGGATTAATTAAGGAAGACCAAAAGATTTTATTTAGTGAGATGGACATTTTGAGGTTAATTGACCATCCTAATATTGTTAAGTTACATAAACTATATTAAGATAATATCCATTATTATATGATTACTGATGTATGTTAAGGGGGTGAACTATTTGATAAACTGGCATCAGAAAAGAACTTTACTGAAAAAAAGGCAGCTGAGATTATGAAATAAATCTTATCTGCTGTTACATATTGCCATGAAAGGAAAATCATTCATAGAGATTTAAAATTAGAAAACATATTATTAGAAACTAAAAACTCTAATTCTAATATTAAAGTAATAGATTTCGGTACTTCTCGTAAAGTACAAGAAAATGAAAAATTAAAATTAAAAATTGGGACTGTATTCTATTAAATTAAATTTAAGTTGTATTATATGGCTCCTGAAGTATTTTAAGGTCAATATGATTTAAAAGTAGATGTTTGGAGTGTTGGTGTTATCTTATATATATTGTTATGTGGTTATCCTCCTTTTAATGGAGATGACACAACAATTAAAAAGAAAATTCAAAAAGGAACTTTTGAATTTAATGGTAATACAATCAATTTAATATGATAATTAGATACTGATTGGAGGTCTATCTCATAAGATGCAAAAGATTTGATTGTTAAAATGCTCAAATTTGATCCTTAATAAAGAATTACTGCTCAGCAAGCACTTTCAGATCCATGGATATAATCAAAAGCGCCTAATACGCCAGTATAGGCAAATGCACTATAAAATTTAAAAGATTTTTATGTATGAAAATGAAACTTTAATTTTAGAGTACATCGAAATTAAAGAATGCAATATAATTATTTATTGTTACTCAAGTTTCAACTTATTAGGAAAAGGAAGAGTAATTGAAATAGTTTAAAGCTATGGATACTGATGGTAATGGAACAATTAGTCCTGAAGAATTAAAAAAACATTATTCAAAATTTTATGGAACAGAATAAGCTGAGAAATTAGTTCAAGAAATTATGAAATAAGTTGATATTAATTAATCAGGACATATTGATTTTAATGGTAATTCAAATACTAAATATGATTTTAATTAGAATTTTTAGTTGCTGCTGCGAACAAAGAAAAAATACTTTCTCAAGAGAAATTGAAGTAGGTATTCTAGATGTTTGATAAAGTAATGAATTAACCAATTTTAGAATGGAGATGGAAAAATTTAAAGAGCTGAACTTTAATATATTATGTCAGGTATTAAGATAGATGATGGATAATGGAAAAACATTTTGGAAGAATGTGATTAAGATAATGATGGAGAGATATCTTTAGATGAATTAATAGCATTAATGTAAAAATTAAAGTGAATTTGATTAATATATTTAAAATAATAATTAAATGAAATCACTACTCTTTGGAACAATATTGTTTTGTATAGCGTTAAGTTAAATAACATATGAAGAATGTAAACGAGATTGTACAATGGATTGGTTAGATTGCACAAGTGGATGTGATAGCATTGGTAATCCATAATTTTGCCATAAAAATTGTTAGAAGTAATTAAAACCTAATTTTTAGTGTGGTTCATGGATGTTTAGATGAATGTCCAAAAATAATATGTATTGATGAATGTCGCATCATATTAGAAGAGTGTCGTAAAAACGGAACTGGAATTTGTGAATTACATTTTAATTAGTGCCAATTGATATGTGAGGATACTTATAATGAAAATTAAGATATATGAATAAATAAAATATATATATTTAGATAGTCTATGAATGCATCAAGATTATATAATAATTAAAAATAATATATAATCAAGATTAAAACGATGAATTTTTATTCCGTTTTTGTATTATTAAAAATAAATATGAAAACATTCGTAGTGATTTGCCTCATAGCAGCTGTGTTTGCACTTGATACAAACAAATTTGCCGTGCTTCTTCAAGCAGGCACAAGAGGAAATGATGCTGTCGAATCAGTTTACAATCTCTTAAGAGATTTGAAGACAGAAAATGTTAATGTGTAAGCTGCTGCTGATAGAAAGAACAATACAGATGAAGGTAAACAATTGAATCATTTCTAGAAATCTTTTCATAAGTCATTGGTGATTTGACTAATGTTGCCTCATTAAATAAATAATAATGGGAAGCACTTGGAGCTGTCAGAACAGATGTTGAAGCTTAAATCAGAGTATAAATACGAATTAATTCATTAAGGATGGATATTAATGGTTAGCTTGGGCTGAAGCTAGACTTGCTGAAATTGAAAGAAGAAATGCTTAACTCCAAGACTAAAGATGTTGGGCCAATGGATTATTTGTCAAATCCCTTGCTGATCATGCTGATGCCGTAGCAGTTGTTACACTCTTATAATAAGATGTTGCTGGTTTCCTTACAAACAATGCTGGAGTTGAACTTGTTCAAAAAGCCTAAACTATCGCCGATAAATTATCAGCATATAGTCATCTTTTCTAATAAGATGCTATTCAAAAATTCTAATCACTTGCTGAAGTTAAAAGAGAAGGTACAACTGGAGAATAAGTCCTCTAAATCTTATTTGATTTATAAGCTGAATTAGAATCTACTCTTGCCACCCTTTAAGAATAAGAAATTCATGCTGCATTTGCACTCGCCAAATATGTCTCTGATACTAATGCTGAAGTTTCTTGGTTGAATTCTGAACATGAAAGAAGAACAGGACTTGTTGAAAAATTAGAAACTGTATTATTATTATTTCATTATTTCTTTAGCAACTCCCAGCCGTCCTTGCTTAATAAGCCAAAGCTCTTAAACTCTGGAAAGATTCCTTGAACGCTGTTGCTGGTGCCACTGCTGATTTAGAAGAAAAAAGAGAATTCTATGCCTCCGAAACTGCCAGAAGAGCCGGTACCATTTATCACAATAATCTATAGAGGAAAATGCCATTATCGATGTTGTCATCTAATTGTTCAAAGATTAAGTTAGAGCCTTAGCTTCATAGACCAGTCTTGGAAGAAAGTGATTTCCATAATACAAATATATTCAATTCAAAAATTAATCATTTATATCATTTCAATCCCATTTATCCTTATTTCCTTATTTCAAGCCATAAATTTCTAAATATCTAATATTATATTTTATATCTTAATTAACAAACTAAATTACATATTTTTATAATCTTAGAAAATTCTTCCATCTTTACAATCACATTCCAACTTGATTTTTCCTTCCTAAAATATATTTTATCCTTTTTAAGTTAATTATTAGACTTTCAAAATAAATTATTTTAATATTCTAAATCCAATTTTTAATTATTAAATATATTTATAAATCCATAAGTTCTAAACTAAACAACAAAAATAAACTAATACTATATTAATCTAATAAAAACAAATCTATAGATATATATTATATAGTATTTTATATAATATTCATGAATTATATTATTTTTAGTTTATTTCATTTAATTATTTAAATTATTGTTGTATATTGAGATCTGGATGAATTTTACCCATGAATAAATTAAGTTTGATTACTGATTTAATTTCATTACAATTTTCTGAGATCTCTTACTAAAAATGTTTATGAAGGAAATAAAAACTTATTTAGTTTATTTGCTCTTATGAGACTAAGCATAACATTTATATATACCTAAAATTTATTTTATCTAGGCTTACTTTTTTAAACCTAGAAAAAAATTATCTTAATCCTTAATCTAAAAGTTGAATTTCATTATTAATCTGTCATTAGACTTTTGAATGAATATTTCAAAATTCATTTCCGAATGCATTTAAAGAAAGAAAGATAAGAATTTTCTGGACTTTGGGGTAATAATTTTGATCAATTCAATTATGTAATTAATATCTTTGATTTTTATACAATAATTATTAAAACCAAAAAAAAATAATCGAAGTACTTAAAAGTTAAAATATCCCAAATGATCGATTCCCTTTACTTCAAAGGCCTACTAGATTTTGGACATTATAAATTAAATTTCACAACTTTAAAAAATAAATTATAAAATTATAATTGAAAATTGTTGAAAAGTGGCTGTTCGAAAGTTTTAAGTAGTTCAGAAGCATTTCAACTTTCAAGTTTAATTACTAAAGCTTAAGAAATGGATTTTTTATATTCAATTGATTACTGGAGTTCTGAAAGTAAGTAAGGACTTAATTCTCTTTCTTTTTAAGATGATGGGGATAAAATAAAAATGTGTACTTTATCAAATTTAAAAATATATTGCCTCTATTATGCAAGTATTTAAACTATCATATGAATTAATTGATCACAAATCTATAAATACTATAAAATCATATA